TCAATTGTCTGATTCTTGCCTATTGACTCCAGCTACTTGACTTCTATTCCAATTTACTCTCAAGTTGGAGATCTTTTCAAAATCCTCTACCAACACCTTTAGGTTTTCCATATCCTCTGGATCTCCTTCACAAAACAGAATCAAGTCATTAGCAAATTGAAGCTTTTGTTTTCAATTGTCAGATCCAATGTAGGATTTGTTATAGAACAAGCTAACTTTGCATTCTAAGATACCAACTGATTTAGTGTGAAAAAAATTAGGCTATTTTGGTTTGATAGAAAATAAGATAGAAACAGAAAATTAAAGGAAAGTTCTTAACAAAATTTATGAAATTTCTTAAGAACTTTCCACTATCAAATCAAACATAGGGTTAGGGATTGATAATTTGTTTCAAGCATGAAGGTTTAGGGTTTTCATACTCAAATGGTTCTTAAATTTGAATGAACGCAATAGTAAAAAAAGGATCCTTTTCTAATGAGTAACTTGTGTTCTTCCCAAACTTCAAAGACTGGTAGAAGGTTGTAAGAAGATGTTAATAATAAAAACCAAGAAATAAATAGGATGAATTGGAAGGACATGTAAAATTAAGGGTTATTTCAAAAAGAGGAAGCAGGAGAAGCCCACCACTACGCATGGTTTCAAATGTTGCCAAATGTCGCCGGACATATGTCGATGTCGAGTCTCACCAACATGAAAATGGATGGTAATATAAAAATTACATTATGTCGGTCGACATTTCCTATATTTCGGAAATGTCGACCAAATCGGTCCAAATAACCAAAAAAAAATACAGTTTTTCCTATTATGTCGACAGGATGTCGACTAATGTACATTAAAAATATAATATATTAGTATATTATATTAATATAATACAATATATTAATATAGATTATTCCATTAATATTTCAATTAAAATATTTATCATAAAATATTTTTCAAGTAATAAAATATTAACTAGTTAATATTTTTTAAAATATTTATTAAAATCAAAAAATGTTTATTAAATTTTATAATAAACCATATTCTACATTTAATATAAAAAATCAGAATAAATTTAATAAATTTTATACTAAATCATAATTTATTATAAATTTAGTATTAAAAATCATAATAAATTCATT